ATTCTCAGTGGATGTGCACTGCTGCGTTCATGTACAAGTTGCATACTGGACCACCATCAACTTCCAAACTATCTGTGATGTCACAAATCCTGCTGGTAGGCCCCGCCTCTTAAAATCAGCTTTTCAATGAGTCACAGAGAAACTTTCCAACTTTCAGCAGCATGAATGTGAACAACTATCACTGTCTGAGTCAACTCTGCACAGACAGATTAAACAGCTACATCTGTAGGGACAAGAAGAAACATCTGATTAGTTGATCTGGACGGGGCTTAATATGCACTTAAATGCAGCAATATTCTGACCGCAGTGACTTGATGCCATGGTCACTGCGTGTGGCTACACTTGGAGCTCAAAGTGGTGCTTTTCACTGTAGTGAATCAGCAATAATCCTGTGTGTGGGCCTCAAACACAAGCTGCGATTACTTTCCTCCTTGGGTTGACTTTACCTCTGCAAACAGCCGACGCAAGATGTGAGGGATCAAACTCGTCTTGGAATGAATGGAAATAATAAAATAAAAAAAAGCCCTGGCAGGGAGAAGCCTGTAAAGCAGCCCTTTTTTTGGAGCAAATAGGAGGGGGGTGAGAGAGTGAGATTTAAGGATGGATTGGCAGAGAGAAAGAGAGAGGGAGAGGAGCAGATGGTGGCGGGGAGCCAGCCGCGATCACAATCTCCCCCAAAAAACTTCAAAAGGAAATCACTGGAGCACAATAAATTCATTCTCCCGTCTTTTTGTTGTAAGCATTTAACATTTTATAGCTCAATCCACCTTCAGACGCATTCAGAGCGGCAGAAAAACAGGCACACATTTGGTTGGAGGGGGAAAAGAGAGAAGGAGAGTGTGGAGAAAGAGAGAGATCGTATGGGTTAACTCAGTCGATTAGGTCGACTGAGGCTCTTCCAGCTGATTAGTCTGTTTTAATGATTTCTTTCTGACATCTCACATGAATTATTCAAGATTACAGTCACATCTCTGGCATAAGAATAACATGAGGTCACATCAGTCTCACTGCACGGATTAACAGCTGATCTGGAGGGAAACTTGGATCAGTCCCTGCACTTAGATGGGGATAATAATGCAGAAAAAAACACTATTGAGGAGATTCATAAACCTTAATGGCCTATTCAAAAAGTTCATAAAACTGTCTTTGGCATCAAATGACATATCATTTTTCCAATCTGGACACAGCCTTGGGAACAGTTCTCTGTGTCTGCTCCACTGCAATCAGCCTGTATGATAAAAGAGGAGGCGCAGACAACATTTGACCGAGTCCACACAGTCACTCACACAAAGCAAGCACTGTTGTCGAAGAAGCCAGCGCACACTGCTGTACTGAAACTGACGGTGAATTAGGTCGCTCCCTGGTAATGAAGGAATACTTCTGATAGCGATGTTACAGCAACACCATCTATTAATCTGCCTTGTGAAACAGCAAAGCTTCTATACCATGACTCAGCTTCCCTTGGACTGTTTCTTTGCATCTCATTTTCTGTCTAGACTCAATAAAACCCAAGAAGCGACTCGAGTCAGCGACTGTATCTTAACTCCTCTAAATCAATGTACAGGATACATTTATTCTCATTCCTAATTAGCCTCAGGCTGACCTCATTAATACCTCGTTTAGATGGGATAACATAAGTGGCCGCAGTCCAACTCAAACTCAAACTGAGCGGTCTGGGCTGTTTTTCTCCACTTAACCAGTTCCAGCAGCTCCAGTGCAGATTCAAAGGTTCCAGGCTGCGTGCACGTAGCCCGGCCTCGGCTCCTGTCAGTTATCTGCGGCGTGAACCTACAGCGCCTGGGAGGCACGAGGCCTTTCAGCAGTTGTCAAGGCGCGTTACCATGACACTCCGCAGCCCCGTCACCCCGGCGATGCCGCTTATCAAACAGCCCCCCGAGATAAGCTGACATCAGCGCTACGTGCCGCCTGACACAACGCAGGAAGACAGACTGACCGCCGTTATATATACACGTTCTCGCCCTCATGGTGTAGGAATGTGCCAGGTACCTTTGACCTTAACAGGCAGGAGAAAACCACATCTGCCGGGCCCAGAGAGTCTGTGTGCAATAGCAGCTTCTTTTGTTGGGAACCAGCCATTCAACCATGGTTCGAAGGTTCTTCACTGTGTTTTTACCTAGTGCAGCTGATGGGTTGAGTAGGGCTGTGTGTGGCAACATTGCATGTGATGTTTTAAGCAGCAACAAAGCTCAGACCAAGCACATAATATTATATATAATAATAATAATAATAATAATATGTCTTTGTTTGCACACCCTCAAAAGGATTTGACTCATTCTGCTCAGTGACATGAACTAACTGATTGAAGATTGCCACTTACAGAGCTTTCAATCAACAGACCTTTTTCACAGCAGCCATCTTGCATGAAACAGTAGGGTGAACACGGGTGTTACCAATGATACTTATTAAGGTAGCATTCCATTCATTGCATGTTGGCTCACTGGGAAAGTGCTGCTACACTAATTGGAACGGGGCCAGAATTCGTATCACTGGTAACGCATGTTTACCCTACTATGTCAAAATGACTGCTGTGAAAAGGGTCTATGAGAATAGGTGTGGTGCAAAACTAATAGTACTCAAACAGTTTCTCAATAGAAACTGATCAAATATATATATTAAAATAAAAGCTTACAGTCCACCCAGACCATTAAGGTAATGGTTCTCCCAGCACCATGTTGAAGTTGTTTATTACCTCCAGACTTTTCTCAAAGACCTCGGCAGCTCCGATCGGCTGTGATCAACTTTACATCCATCCTGCAATCGCCAGACACATCTATTGTTCCTGATACATCAGCAGAGCAAAAGCAGGGAAATTTGACTCACTGCGTGAAAAGTGCACCCAGGACAAACCTTCTCTCAGCTTTCATTGCTCAGTCAGCTGTCACTGGAAGTTAATGAACTTCTGGGTGGCTTGAGTTGCACGAGGTGTGTGCGCTATTCAAGCCAGTGGTGTGAGTGCGTGACACCGAGTCCGAGTCAGCTGCTTAAACTGAAGGTAGATAACGCTAAACGCCAGCAGTAATGGACTAATAAACTGTCACTGTGGCCACTACCTTATGGCACACTAACACACAGCTGCAAGTGTCCTGCATGAGTCAGCTGTGAGCAGCTGGGGCCGCCACTCACACACACACACACACACCTGTTACACTCCTCAATACCTCCCCTCTGGACACACATTTCTCTTTGAATGACAGCAAGGAAAACAACTTGTGTTCAAATCTACAGCGCAGTCTGGCGAGCACACAGTAACCGGGTCTTTATTCCCGCTGGGCGACGCTCACTTTGAGGAGAGAGATGCTCCAAAAGACGCAAGAGGTTAAAAGGAGCTAATGAGAAAGTGGAGGAAGAGGAGGGGAAAGAATGAGAGAGATGAAGAGTAAGTGGTTTCCATTCTGGGACATGGACACAACATGCGGCTCTTTGAAACAACCGAAGCTATTGTTAACCGCAGTTTGGCCTACGGAGAGATTCCAACAGCTGGATTCAATTAGGGGCTTTCTTAAAGGGGGCAGGCCGCGTCCACACTGCACGTCTCACATCTCAACACACACAGTTAGATCACAGATGAAAAGAAAAATAAATAAATTTAAAATCAAGGTCACACACACTTCCATAGAAGCCGTTTTGACATCTCAACTTTCTCTGCGTGGAGCAGAACATCACTCGCGGGCGGCGCTGTGAAAAAGGAAATATCTGACAAAAACTGCTGTGCTGCGTTAGACACGTCCAACAGAATCAAGTTAAACCTATGCTTTTTTTGCTTCATCAGCAACCTGGGGCAAATTAAAGGACACATTCCTGACAGGAAGGAAGGAAAAAAGTGCTCACATGATCTCTCCCCCAGCTTTCATGCATGTTGTCTAAGACAAAGGTCACTTCTAGATTTGGGCACTGAGGTGGTGTTCAAGTGAGAGGCTGAAACAGAAAGCAACAAGACATGTACCAACCCCCCAAAGAGAAAAACAAGGAAACATCTGAATTATACAGCATGTCCAACACTGTCACAGTACTGGGCAATGCAAGCTCGGGGTCATTCTTGCCCTTCCAAAGACATCATGTTCAGTGGGCGACAAACACTCAATCCATGTTACACAACAGACCCACATCTCAGACTCAACATCTGATCCAGTGTTTAAGAGCTCAGCACACTGTGGGTGTCATATGGGTGCACCCTACCTGCTGCAGGTACACTGTCACCCTTAGTTTTAAAAGGTGTGTCCCTGATACACCTCTGACATGTGTTCTTCCCATCTGCATGAGCACAGCCTGGGTGTCTGCTGCTGTGTGTTCAGAGACATTCAGTACAGCGTGTCATTTCCCAAGCTAAAAATCAAACTGTGGCATCAAACAAACGCCGCCCCATCACCAGTGCTGAGAGATAATCCCTCTTATATACAGTGTGGGAGTAGCAGCAGGAGCGAGCGAGCGAGCGCCATTCCAAAACCCATGCACGTCCTCAAATGCAGCACAAATTGAGTGAGCGAGCCCGTCGGCGCGATAAAGCGGACAGTACTGACCCGTTAATAAAGGCTAACCTGACACCTTCTTCAACACTGACGCTCTGTCGGGGCACACGTTGCCGTCTGTGGCATTTGAACGCAACATGTTTAGCTAACGTCTCAGTTAGTTGTCCTCGCGCTCCAGCGGCGCTCCAACTCCTGACTTTCATCCTGCTCTCGCCCACCGAGCAGCCTCCCCTCTCGCATTATCTCACATTTCACACCGTTAGCAGCTTCTTACCTCATGGCCAAAGTGTTGTCAGGGCCGAATATATCACAAACTCCTTTGGGTATCGACGAACGACGGGTGACTTGTAGTTTTCACAAAAGTTCACCGCTCGGTTCAAGGCTACAGGCGACCAAGATGAATGGGACTCCCGGGGCGGCGTGACGAGAGGCTTCACAGTTTGCAGGCTATCCGGTAAAAAGTACCAAAGAAAAAAGAAAACTGGGATTTAAAAAAAAAAAAGAAACAGTCGGATCCTACATGATCTAGAGCATCGCGGCTCCGCTGGTGGCGATGAGTCGCTGGTAAGAAAGTGGATAACAGTGGCGGTTCTGCGGTTCTTTTTTTGACGCACTTGGGTCGGTGTGATGCGGCGCTGTGCCGCTCGGGTACCGGTCTGCCGCCGCTGCCTGCTGGCTGCAACACGTGCTGCGTTCACGGCCGCACTAGAAGCTCCTACTTTGAAGTTCCCCCGGTCGCACAACTAAAAAACTACCTCCCATTTACTAAAGCTAAACCTTTTATTAAAGGAGGCATGTTGGAGAAAAATAACACGTGGGAAGGAGGGAATCCTGGTTGCATATACATAATAAAGTTAACAAAATGACTGCTGGGCAAGATTATTATTATTTGAACATAATGATTTATTAGTATCGTTTACCAAATGGGCTGCTTAGCTCGAGAAACGTGAATAAATTTACTGTCAAACACTGTTTTTCTCTTTTAGTTCATAGGTGATACCACAATGCCCAAAGTATCCATTGTGAGGGTGAGACAGAGGGAGTATTATGCTAATACACTTCTACCTAAAATTCACATCTAAATGTTTTGGCTTATATATAAAAAAAATATATAAAATAAACTTGTTGCGTCTTTCATGTGCGCGCTGTATTTATCACCCTTTGGTTTTTCCCACGGCACGCGAAAGCAGCAGTTGACGCAACTTGTGGGACGTAACACGTACAGGTTGCCCCTGACAACTGAGTTGGCTCTCTTGCTGTGTGTTTCTGTCTGTGATGTGGAGCTGGGACCAAAGTAGACCGAAAATATTACAAAATAAAAATTGGCTGTGTCTGTTTTGCGTTTTAAAAATAACTACAGTAGTCCCAGAATACATTAAAACCAGGCTGCACAAATACAAGAGCAAAACATGGATCGACTACATACTGGTGACTATATGCTAATATGTGAGGACACTTTGGAAATATGGCCATCATCCGTATCTCATAAAAGTCAAGAATATGGCTTCTGGTCTTCAGTATTTGTTGTTTTCCCTCTGTCTTAATGACGCTCTACAAAGACACCGTCAACCACAGAGAGGGAGAGAATCTGAAGTTTAATGGGCCTGAATGAGCAAATACCAATTCTGCATTTTAAAATAAATGTGCCTGACCTATGTCAAACTGTTCATTTGCATTCCTCGCTGAGGTTTAAATCCAACTGCATCGACTTCATCCACAATGTGACATTTTTTCACAGGGTTTTGCAGTAATTAATTAAAAGGCCAGAGCTCAAGACCGTGAGGATGTGATTCCTGCCAAATAAAATCTGCAAAACTGTGCATTGCTGCCACGATTGCCAATGACAGGAGGATTTAAGAAGGCCACAGTTCACAGGAAAAATACACTGTAAAACCAGATAAGTGCATTTAACTAATTGAACATGTAAAGAAAAACTAACTCAAAACTTAACTTCTATGTTAAAGAAAATCCTTCTTGTTTAAGAAGCTTTAAACATACAAAACTGAGTTGACTCAAAAAAAATGTATGTAATCCATTTCAACATGTTTCTTTAGTTAGAATAACGTATTGCATTACAGTGTACTGAATTCATGTGGCAACTTTGCATCTCTGGCAAGTTATATTCACAAGGATTGAGAAAAACACACGGTAGGCCCTACACCTGCAATGTGGTTATGGGAAATAGCATCCTGCCTTGCTTTGGAGAAACAGATGTGGCCAGAGGGAAATCAAATAAGTAAAAAAATTTAACACTTTGATGCAATTCTTTGAAAGTGATCAGACCTGAATTTAATGACTGAAATTGATAAATAAAAACAACAGCACCTACACAAATACTGTACCTCTTCTAAATCTGTTTTTTTCCTGAATGTTCGATGTAGAGGGCGGGGTGAGGATATGTTATTGTATGTGAGACTATGTTCTTTCCACGCCAATAACCAATAAATCTGAAAAGAAAAAAAGAAAAACCACCTTATCACCAGGTGGCCCCCTGACGCCGGCTTTGTGACTCACTGCTGTGTGGACGTGTGTTTGAGGATAAGATGTGGAGTCAGTGTCATCCTTCAGGGCTGAATGTGTATGTCAGCGAGAACACAAAATTGTCTGGTGTTGAGCCGCCGGCATGTGTCTCTGTTTAAAGTGTGTGTGAGTACACTGCTGTGTGCATGCCTGGTTTGTGTGTGTATGCCATGTGTCCATCATGTAATATTATACATTCCCATTACTATAATGGCACAGCAGCAAGTGAAGCCAGTACTATAAGCCACTTATCCACTGAGGGGCCAAAAGAGGCTTACAGGAGTCGAGACCAGCTCAAACTGTTTATAGCCAAAAATTAAAAGCACTATTTCTTTATTTAGCTCTGGGGGGTATTATTCTCCACCCTTTGATTATATTATCTGAGTGTGATGCAAAAAGCATCATAAGAATGTTGATTAGGACAATGACACAAATAGTAAATGGTCCCTCTCTGGCATTGAAATTGAAAAGCAGCTGAAGAGGAAGCCCTGGCTGGAAATGAGGCCTCAGACTGTATCTGACTTGTAGACTGAGGAACACAGTGGACAATAAATTATAAAACCCATAAGCTGCTGTGGATACGCACTAACTATCACGTTTAGCTCGGCTAACCCTGCCAGTTGTCTGATGTTCTAAAAGAGGATTAGGAGTTTTTTCAAAAAAATAAAAAGGTAGAGGAAAAAGGTCACAGTATGAGCTCTTCTGCCTTTATGTAATGCCACTGCACTTTGATAGAAAGGTTCTCCACTGTGGAAAGGGCAAACTGATTTTACCGAAATAATACCAGGTTGCAGTTTTGCCTCAGTGATGGTGTTTTAGGTTGTCAGGAAGACTTGGTGCTAGAAGAGACAGTTAGTGTATTTAAAATGATACATGAAGGCCTGTCAGCACCGCCTCCCGGTCCGTTGGGAATACTAATGACATGTCACTGTATTTTCCTTTTATATTGTGTATTTGTACCTGCGTATGCATGAGTGTGGGGAGTAGCTCTAACACCAGCTCCTGTAATTCCATGTATTTTGATTCTAAAGTCTGAAATAGAAACAAGTCAGGCACTCGGGTGACTGAGCTTCAACTGACTCAGCTGATGATGAATGAGCCGTCAGTACACCACCCACTCTCCACCAGCCCTGTTATTGTGACATGTAACACACTGAACCAGTAAAATGTCATTAGAAATGAAGGAAATGAGGCTTACTGTCCTGCCACACTCGCTGTAAATACTGGCGAAATGTTGATAGTTCAGTCTTCTGAGATCAGCCAATAGCCTTAGCTGTAAAAATACCTGAACTTTGGCTGCCATCTGGTGTGCAAGCCTTGAAATACATCTTATGAATTCTTAGTTGCCGGAGCGCTAAACAGTGGCTACATATAGTACAGTGCTTCTGTACAGTTTTGAGGTGCTTGTGCTTTATTTGAGCATTTCCATTTAATGATACTTTATACTCCACTACATTATGGGGTGTGTGTTATACTTTTTACTCAATTAAATGTTATTTTATATTAAAAAAAGATAAGATAAGATGTTCCTAAGATTAATATAATGAATATAATTAAGAGTTTACATACAAAACATATGGTTAATTTGTGAAACATTGCTGTTACAGATTAATACCATTAAGTAGATACAAAATTAGCCAGGCTTGGAGCGTAACGGATTATATGTAACAGTTACATAATCAGGATACAAAAAAATACTAACTGTAATCCATTACAGTTACAGGAAAAAAAAGATATAATGAGATTACAGTTTTTACATTATTTTGTCTTTTAAGCAGAAAAGGGGTAACATTACAGTATGACATAAATTCTGCCTTACAGCTGTGAAAATAGTCTCAAATCTACTGCCTGAATTTGCTTCATCAAATGCAGGTTTTCCCTTAAAAAACACACTGAGCAGATGACGCATTTTTGGTGCTAAATGTTGCTTTCCATCTCCTTTGAAAGGTTACATTGTTCTGTTGTCTTATAGAGTACACCTGCATCAATACTTCTTATTGACACTTCTTTCCTCTTGTCTTCATTTGCATATTTGGTGTTGAGGTAATCCAAAATGAAGTTACGTTACTTTAATATTGTGATACTTGGGTTACTGACTACATTTTCTAATCCAACTTTCAATCCAATCCAACTTTATTTCAAAGGTAACGCGTTAAAGGTCCCGATTGTTAACACGACCACCATCTCTACATCCACACTCCGTATCATTCCTTTCGAACAGCTCAACTCAACCCACAGGTGATTTCTTCGTTCACTTACCACCCAGAGTTGTCCCGGTCAACTTGATGCACACAGGTGCTCGTCGCAATGTCCTGTACTTACAAGAACCACTCTGACCTGCAAACACAGCAACACACGGGTGAGCTTTGAGCTGAGCAGCTTTGAGCTTTAGCTGAGAGCTGATTCACAGCCCACTGGTACAGCTCACGTCGCTACCACGAGCTACCGGCTTAACAAAGCTAGCACGCTAAGCTAGTAAAAATAAAGTCTCTCACCTTTCATGAGGGTCTGTCAGGTAGAGTTTTTCTGCTGCAACGGGCGAACTCCCCCAGTCTGATAATACACGATCCTTTCAACCAAAGCACACTTACTTATTATACCAAAGAATCGTTTGTATCGGCGGACCAGTTTGCTACTTCGGAACACCACTCAGCAGCAGTGTGAGCCAGCCAATCAGAACTAAGAGAAACGTGATGCACAAACCATTTCCGGTTGCTACTTCAAAACAAAAGCCACGCAGAGCATATATCATAAATCATCCGTGCTATTAAGTGACTTTTGATTGTATAACTTAAATTTGGTGTTAGAGTTTTATTCAAATTGTTTTGTCTGTTTACTCACGACTCCAACTTGGGTTTGAATCAATTACCAGTTAACAAAGTGAATACATAGAAATACTGCTCTTGCTTTTAGAAAAGTCACCCAATTGACTTTTGTTTTGAAATATTCTTAGTCACAGTACCGGAAATGATCCTGTGCTGTATGCGAGGGGAATTTTGTACAGTGCCGCCTCTATGGTTGCACTTAAAGGTGACTAAAAAAGACCGGCTTTTCACCAAAATAATGTGAATAATCCACATAGCTTGAAATTCACTGTAGTTTCTGATTAATTACAATATTAAATAATATAAAATTATTTCACATCTTTAATTTCTTCCCCTGTCCAGGGTAATTCTATTAGAAAGCTTTTTATGACCAGAAGTTGGATGTGGTGTGCTTCAGCTGTGTTAGAAAGTATTCAGATCCACAAGATACTAAGCTTAATTTCAGGGTTCGGGAAGGTCATTTTAAAAGTTTATCAATACAAATTTATTGAACGTGGGCTATCACGGCAGATACCGACTCCAACGCTCCCCCCCCCCCACCCATTCCGGCTTCGACGTCTCGAGCCCACAGGCGGACACCACCGCGGACGGCATGAAGAAAGGAGGGACTGGGCCATAAACAAATCAGTGGGTGGAACGCCGAGCAGTCTGTGGTGAAGAGCGTGCTGCAGCACCGGACAGCGAGCTCGTCGCCAGTCGGACTTCGTCCATGTTTTATCCCGCACGGGAACTTCCAGTGTTATCGCCACACTGTTTATATTCTCACAGTGGTCTTCATCGATCACCATCACTGTTTACATTTATGCGGTCTTATTTATTCCTGTAACAAGCACTGTCAAACTTTGGTTGTTTTTAAAGTGCTTAAC